CCGATGCAGGGCTCGATCCCAGGACCCTGGGATCATGACCTGAGCCAAAGGCAGACGCTTAACGACTGAGCCACCCAGGCGCCCCAAGTCCAAGATTATTTCATAGGCAGGGTGGGTCGGTCAAGGCTGGGTTCATGGAGAAGATCCAGTTTAGGAGCACCTGGGTTGCTCAGTTGGGTAAGCGTCTGCCTTTGGCTCAGCTCATGATCTCAGGGTCCCGCGTTCAGCTCCCTTCTCAGTGGGAAGCCTGCTTCCCCCTCTCCCTCTGCCGCTCCCCCTGCTTGTGCTCTCTCTCTCAGGCCTGCCACTCTGCCTGCTTGTGCTCTTTATCTGTCGAATAAATAAATAAAATCTTTAAAAAAATATATATATATTTTTTATTTTTTTAGATTTTATTTGACAGAGAGAGACACAGTGAGAGAGAACACAAGCCAGGGAAAGGGAGAGGGAGAAGCAGGCTTCCTGCTGAGCACGGAGCCCGATGCGGGGCTCAATCCCAGGACCCTGGGATCATGACCTGAGCCAAAGGCAGACACTTAACTGACTGAGCCACCCAGGCGCCCCTCAAATAAAATCTTTTAAAATAAAATAAGGATCCAGTTTGAGGAAAAGTACAAGGTCAAATTACAATTAGGATGAGACATGGTCAGAATGAGTTTCAAGTTCCTTTCAAAGCAAGGAAGGGTCAAGGTCAATGTGAGGTACAGGAAGACTGTCAAGGTCACAATGAAGGGTAAGAGGTTCAATATCAAGGTCATGTTCATGTGCAAGGTCAGGCTGGGGGCAAAAATCACACGTCTTTGGAGTGTGTCTGGCTTAGCATCAGGGCTTGGGTCAGGATTAGTGAAACAAGATGAACAAAACTCAGCAAAATACATTCACCTCAACAGCCAGCTCTGAGAGTTTGAGCCAATTAAGAGGAGTCTAATTAATGTAAGCATGCTCAGTCTCAATTATTTGATTTACAAAACTCCTAACTGCATGTTAGCATAAACCAAGATGGACAAGAAGTGTGCTCCATACGTTCATCTCTCTGGCACATTATTTCTCTGAGGTAGAGTGCATTAGCATGAATCTAATTAGTGCTACTGAAAAGCATCATTTAGTTCAAACAAGCTCAGTCTCAGATATTCTTCCTAAAGGCAAAACCTTATTGCTGGCTAGTATTAACTAACGTGAACATAAGCAATGTAACATATACATTCATCTCAAAGGCATATTCTTAAGAAATGGGAGGAATTAGGATCGATATGATTAGGAGTTTGGATAAGAATTCCTGTTAGTGTAAGGCACCAGGGTGGCTCAGGTCATGATCTCCAGGTCTCGGGATCGAGCCCTTCACCAGGCTCCCTGCTCTGCGGGGAGCCTGCTTCTCCCTCTCCCTCTGCCTGCCGCTCCCCCGCTTGTGTGCTCACATGCTCTGTCAAATAAATAAAAAATAAAATCAGGGGCACCTGCCTGGGTGGCTCAGTCGGTTAAGCGTTTGCCTTTAGCTCAAGTCATGATCTCAGAGTCCTGAGATAGAGCCCCACGTCCGGCTCTCAGCTCAGCAGGGAGTCTGCTTCTCTCCCTCTGCTTTTCCCCGTGTTCTTTCTCTCAAATGAAAAAAAAAAAAATTCCTATTAATGCAACAAACAGTCCCAAACTCTTTATAGATTGTTGGAGTAAACTGCAAGTAAGCACTGCAATACACATTCATACTGTGAGAGAGTGAATTTGGATCAAACTAAGGCATACTATTTATTTATTTAAAAGATTTTATTTGTCAGAGAGAAAGAGCACAAGCAGGAGGAGCAGCAGGCAGAGGGAGAAGCAGGCTCCCCGCCGAGCAGGGAGCCGGATGTGGGACTTGATCCCAGGACCCCAGGATCATGACCTGAGCTGAAGGCAGTCGCTTAACCAACTGAGCCACCCAGGCATCCCTAAGGCATATTTAAACAAATTTATATTAGTGCAACAAACTCATTTCCATTCTTCTCAAAATTCTTGTTTGAGCAAACTGAGATGAATGGAAACACAGCAACACACGTTGGTCTCAATTCACCTTTTTTTAAAAGATTTATTTGGAAGAGAGCAAGAGTAAGAGCGCATAAGCGGGGGGGCGGGGGGAGCAGCGGAGGGAGAGGGAGAAGCAGGCCTCCTGTTGAGCACGGAGCCCGAAGCAGGGCTCAGTCCCAGGAACCAGAGATCATGACCTGAGCCAAAACCAAGAGTTGGAGACACAACCGACTGCACCACCCAGGCGCCTCTCAGCCATTACCTCTTACTGTAAGTGGTCATCTCAAAATGAAAGAGGTCAACATCAGGATGGTTATCAGTTTTAGACTGATGGTTGTGATCAGAGGTCAAGGTCCATTTCCATGTCACATTTAAGGTTAGGACCAGAGAATATGATCGAGGAAGAGGAGGCTGGTTTGTAGAAGTGAGCATCACACAGATCCGTAAACTAGAGAAGATCTAGGCCATGAGGCACTAGCCATAGTGGAGCTGTAATTGTGAGCTTCTATTTTTTTTTTTTTAATGATTTATTTATTTATTTGAGAGAGCGAGCGGGGGAAGGGGCAGAGGGAGAGAATATCCAAGCTGACTCCTGCTGAGCGTAGAGCCTGATGCGGGGCTCGATCTCACGACCCATGAGATCGTGACCTGAGCCAAAACCAAGAGTTGGACATTTAACCCACTGAGCCCCCAGGTGCCCCAGCTGTGAGCTTCTGAAAATGCTATTTGTAACAAACAAACTGAGCCAAGAGCAGGCGCGGGGAAAGGAACCAATTGAGGAACCTAAGAAGTGGAAATGTAGAAAAGTGCAGCAAAGTAGAATCCAAGAGCTTAGTCAATGGGGGCATTTCTAGAAGCAAAACCTACACCAACCCTCTGATTGAAACACTACTATTCTATAAATTTGGTTCTAGGTGGCATATATTCAGTTCCAGCTGGTGACCTATAATATTGGAAAAAGGGCCCCCTGCTGCCACATCTTCCTCTCCTGTGAAAAATCAGAAATCCAGAAATATGATATCTAAGTATTAGCAACTACACCAACTACAAAACAGAACAAAAGAGCACAAAGGCTAATTAGCTCATACCTGATAGGCTATGCCTGGTCCACAGGCACAGTCTGTAGTTGCTCCTCTACAGGGACAATGTTTTCTCCATTCAGAGTCCCCACACCCCATCACTGATTAAAAAAACCAAAACCAAAAACTAGGGACAGGCACTGTAGGGCTGGACGTGACAAGGCCTTTCTGCCTCAAAGGCACCACATGTGCCCAGTTATGAAGGGCTCTTTGGCTTGATAAAGCATCGGATATGATTAGCTAACATGGTCTCTACTGAGCCAAGGGTCTAGAAGAAGGAAAAAAGACAGGGCAAAGGCAGATGATCTTTGTTCTTGTTACATTTTATTGGCATCACGTTCATCTCTTTACAGAAGAACTTGGCCCACACCCTAGAATGCAGACCTTTGGAAAAAGAGGAAGTGCTCCGTTAAGCAAGCTACAATGCAGGGGCAGATCCTAGGGAGGGGGCAGAACTGCCAGGGTTCCATACCAAAGAAACAGGTTAATGAATAGTGGGCAATACTGGGAGTTGGTGGGGAAAAGGAGAAAAAGGTTTGCTAACCTAAGGATACCACAACCCTGAAAGGAGTGCCTTCTAGAACAAAGGTAAAATCACTAGGACAGATCTGTTAGGATTTTCCTTTTCCTCTTATCAGTAGGATGCTGACCTAATAGGGGAGTTTTGAAGTGTGGAGCAGGGCAGGGGGGGAATGAGAATTTTAATTTCTGAAACAACGGCCATTTATCCATTGCACACGCCACTGTATTATGCAAATCAACCTTTTGGAAAATTTAGACACAGAAGGGAACTAGACAGTTTTCCCCCTGGAGAGATGAAAAGCTTTTTGGCTCTTAAGTCTTTGATAAAAGGCGTACATAATTCTTGTGTCTACTGTACAGAATACTGCCTCTAGCTGGATTTCTGAATTCTGAGTTGCTAACACTCTGCAATCCAGACAGGGTTCAACCCTCCATCTTACACGCCTGCATTACAGGACTTAAACACATAATCCAAGAATTTCTTACACTAATTTATACATTTTTAATTGGTTGCATATATTAACATGTACTATAAGATTCTTTTCTAAGAAGCATTACATAATAAATGGATACTGTAAAAAGATCTGATTAGTTAAAAGTAACAAGCATTAACAGATACATACAAAACTCAGCCTGATCAGACTGGGTGTGAGCCTGTAATGAAGCATGGGGCACCAGCCTTCCCAAGTGGTAGCCTTCACAGGAGGGAGGGGTGGGGGTAGGGGGTAAAAAGACCACAAGACCGTTAAAAAAATCAGGTAACTAATTAGACACAGATAAACTGTAAACAGTTCTCTCTCCCCAGTGGACAAAAAGAATAAGCTTCTGATGCTGACTCCACACCAGAACGATTTCTACAGCTTGCCTGTCGTGCTGTCGTACAAGGGCTGATGTGGTGGGTGGGTAGACCCCGATGGAGTCATCACAGGCCTGGGCTGGAGTCTGTCTGCTTGTATCAGGGCTGTGTGTGTGTGTGTGTGTGCGTGCGTGTGTGTGTGTGTGTGTGTAAGGGTGAGTGTGTTGATGGGGTTTCTTTTGGCAGCTGGATTCGAGAGATGACTTTATGTTTTGTTTGGAAGAGGAGAGGGGCTTGTGTTGGAAGGCCTAAGTGTGTTCTTTCTTTGTGAAGGACTCTGTGCTCTGCTCTCACTGCCCCTTCAGCAACTGCAGCTTTCCGCCGAGGTCTTGGCCCGGTCGTTCTTGTCCAGTTTGATGGGTTCGGGGAATTCATTGTACAGCTCCACCTCTGTTTCCTGGGCAGGGAGAGAGAAAGGTCTGTTACTCAGGGTATGGGGAACTTCCGAGCTCAGCAGTAGCCTCAGCGGTGCTCCTCCATGGCTCTCAGTGGGCAGGGGGCTGGGGGACAGACGCGGCAGGGAAGGGAGGGCGCTGGCAGAAGGTGCTCAACTCTCAAGGGCTGAGCAAGGGGACGACAGGTTTTGTGACAACCCTGGGACAATGATAAGAGAGAAACCGAGCAGGAAGAGCTGCAATCGATACTGAGCAGTCAGGACACAGCTGACTCATGCTCTCCATCATCATGATGGAGATCTGGTGGCTCGGGGACCACAACCAGCTCACAAATGCTTTCTGCGTGCTCCGTATCGTCTCATCGCCAATACTTTAGAAGTCAGACTTCAACATGGGCTGGATTTTGGCAGCTCTTAGCACTTCCACAAGGCAAGCGTGGGCTGGAGCATGAGTGCTCCCTGCCCTCTCAGTCCCAGAACATTACTCTAGTTCCCTATTTGCCATTCATTTTTCTGGACTGATGGTCCATTTTCTTCTTTTTCCAAAGATTTAGGAGGGTTTTGCCTCTAAATGCTGCATACTTAGAAACCAGCTATGGATGAATTTTATCACCAACTGTGGTGAGAGGTCATAGGAGATGGACCGTGGTCAGTTTAGTGTGACTTTTTGCTGAAGTAACATGTGTCTAGTGAGGAGCAGCTTTCCACTTCCTGGTGCAGGAAAACAGTTTGTCACTTCAACACTGGGCACCTATGTGACAGGCAGTGTTCTATAAAAATAAAAACCTCTAGGAATACACATTAAAAAAACAAAAAGGTTTACTGAGATATACCACAGAATGTACAATTCAGTGGTTTTTAGTGTATTCACAGAGTTGGGCAACCATCACCACTAATTCCACAAATTTTCTTCACCCCATAGAAACCCTGCACCCATTAGCAGTCATTCCCCAGCCCCACCAGACACCACCCCCAAGCCTTGGCAACCACTGACATCTACTTTCTGTCTTTACAGATTTGCCTATTTTGGATATTTCATTTGATGGGACATTTGTTTTTATTTCTGCTTTTTGGCTATTATGAGTAATGCTATTATGAATATTCATGTACAAGATTTTGTGTGGACAGGTTTTTGTTTCTCCTGGGTAACACCTAAGAGTGGAATTGCTGGGTCATATAGTGATGCTTCATGTTTAACTTTTTGAGGAACTGCCAGACTGCTTTCCAAAGTGGGTGCACCATTTCACATTCCCACCAGCACCTAGGAATATATTTAATATGGAAGGCAAAGGATGTGAAAAGTGATACAGTGTCACTGAAGGATAGCACACAAAACCTAAAATAATAGCTGTTATGGACTGAATGTCTGTGTCTCTCCAAAATGTCTACGTTGAAATCCTAATCCCCAGTGTGCTAGTATTAGGATGAAGAAATTAATGAAGATGAAATGACGTCATAAAGGGTGGGGCCCTGATCCGACAAGATCAGTGTGTCCTTGTAAGAAAAAACACCAGACAGTGGGGGGGTTCCCACTTGCATGTGCTTGCTGTGAATACAGAGGAAAAGCCATGCACCCGAGGACAGGAGAAAGACGGCAGTCTGCCGACGGGGGAGGTGTGCTGGCGCCTTGATTATAAACCTCTGGCCTCCAGGACCGAGAGACGCTAAAAGCCTGCTATTTTGCCACCCAGGCTGCAATATTTTGTAATGGTACCCAAAGCACACTAGTAAGAGCTCTAATGCGCAATCCCAATTAGAATCTCAATAAGGTTTTGTATTTGGGAAGGGTAAGGAAGGCAAAAGGTGAAACTGGAATAAAATTCTCAGTCTAAATGGAAAATGCACCAAAATAGCAAAAAACAAACAAAAAAAACAAAAAACAAAAAAAACCAACCCCCCCCAAAAAAAACCCCCACAAAAAAGTCTTTTTGTCAGTCACTAGTCACTTGTCAGCAGAGGTCAGACTACAATATAAAGGCAGTCAAATCAAGATGGTCCAGGCAAGGAACATGCACGCTGCCAAATAGACTGGGAAGACCCAATTTTGGAAGACCAAAAACAGATCCCAATATACATGAACATTAAATACACAAAGGTAATGCTTCAGTCCACTGGGGAAAGTGGTTTATTTAACAATTTGCTGCTAATAATTGAAACAACTGGCTATCCCTCTAAAAGAAGAAAGGTTGAGTCCCTATTTCCTGCCATAAGCCAAAATAAATTTCAATTGAATTAGACAACAAATAATCCAGACACAGGAAACCTAGACATTTAAAATGACACACCTAGGGCGCCTGGGTGGCTCAGTTGGTTAAGCGACTGCCTTCGGCTCAGGTCATGATCCTGGAGTCCCGGGATCGAGTCCCACATCGGGCTCCCTGCTCAGCAGGGAGTCTGCTTCTCCCTCTGACCCTCTTCCCTCTCGTGCTATCTCTCATTCTCTGTCTCAAATAAATAAATAAAATCTTAAAAAAAAATAAAATAAAATGACACACCTAACAAAAATTACTTTTTTTGATGCCCCAGAAAGACAGCAGCGTTGGAAAAGTCACTTGCCATACCGGTCAAGTTAATTCCGGTTCACAGAAGGCTCATGGGAAGCGGCGGGCGCCCGGGCCAGTGCCACATGCTGGCGGTGTGCAGCAGGGGGGGGGGGGGCGACTGGTGGCACGGCAGCAGGGCCCCAGACGGTGCTAGCCATTTGCTGCTGAGCAGGAAGAGAAGGACTGAAGTATGACTGCCTTTGAGGAAAGTGATCTGGCACCATCTTTTGCAAGCACAGATACCTTTCAATCTAACAATCTTACTCCTGAGAGGCTAGCATGTAGGAACAAAAAAACATTCTAATAAGGCTACAGGGACAGCAATATTCAGAGAGAAAAATTGTTGGTGATGCCAGTTAGCAGGGAGCTGGTGGAAACAACTCCCCAGACCTGTTTAGATTTGCATGCAAGTGTAGGAACACGAGGAAAAGCATCTTCGGTTACCAACCTAGGTGTGAAGGTGGGTTAAAGGAAGGGGGACGGGGAGGCAAAGGCCTGGGGCCTGCATCCTGTTTATCAGTGTTGCTCAGTGGGGGCTCTCCTAGCATTTTGGGTGGATTGATTTCTTTCATCACGGAACACTCAGTGCAGCCTCCAGCCCTTGGAACAACCCATTCCAGGTACTTCCCTGCCCACAGGTCCAGATGCCCTGTCCTGCTGAGAATTGGTACCTTCTATAAACCCAGTTTCCTGGAGCTGGCAGAACCTGCTTGCCCTTTACAGCCACCACGTGCTTCCTCAAAATGTTCTCCATATCTTCTGGTGTGCACCTCACCTGACACTTACCCGCTCCCCAAGTCTGACCATCACAGGTGACTGATGGTGCCTCACGATCTGTCCTAACTCACTGGCCCCCAAAGAGCTGCTGAATCAAAAGAGCCTTCAACTCCCTCATGCCAAGAAGAAGTAACGGTCTCTTTTTCTGGGAACAGTTGAGTTAACAACATAAATCAGAAAGAACACCTCACTCAAGGAATACAATTCCCAGAACTTCTGGTTAAGCTTTCCTTCTGGTGATCTGGTGATCAAATATAACCAGTTATGAGAACGCCAAGAGTGAGCCCATCTCATTCCATCCTCACAACCACCCTCCAAATCAAGTATTATTTGACAGAGGAGGGTATGAAAGCTCAGAAATGATTTAAAAACAAACAAACAACAAAAAAAACACTAGGTCTAATGATGGGTAGCAGACCTGGGATTTGAATTCAAGTTTATCCCCTCCTTCAGTAGAAGGAGCGATCTGACCAAGGGCCTCTTAGTGGTCTCATCTCCTAACAGCACGCAAAGAGAGTAAGAACATACCCAAATAAGGGTGGCCTCAGCCTGTCTTCATTGCCCTTGCATTGTATAGGTTATTCACAAACAAGTGGAATTTCTGGAAGCTTTAGCAGAATGCCTCATTGCCTTCCCAGATAAACACATGGGTTCTTCTGGCTACGCAGAAAAAAGAGCTAAGAAAGATTAAGGACAAGAAAGCCAGGCAGGGGCTAGGTCGATGGTCAGTCACCAGAGGGAGCCAGACAGCTGCAAGAGACCCACCTGTTTAAGTGCATTCCGTGCAATTGTCTGGAACGCCTGCTCCACATTGATGGCCTCCTTGGCACTGGTCTCGAAGTAGGGAATGTTGTTTTTGCTGTAGCACCAGGCCTGTGCCCGCTTTGTGGCCACCTGGAAGAGGAAGAAGGGTGTATGTGTGCTCCTAACAGAGGCAGCTAGCACAGGTGAGGGAGCAGACCGGAGGGTGAGGGTATGCAGGGGTTCGAGGAAGGGGGCTGTACACCTGTCCGAGGTCATGCTGCCGGCTCCGTGTAATACAGCTAGGCCTCAAACCCAAGCCCATTCTACAGTCCATAGTTTCTGACCCTTAGCTACACTTACAGGCAGACGATGAAAGAGTAAGCAGCTGGCCCGGGAAGTACTGAATTGTTTCTCTTGGGACCTCAGAGGTCCCAGCCCAGGAAATGCCTGGCAGCTCCGTCTAAAGGTTTGCAGTCCCATCCCTATTACTGCTAATGTTACATCACCTGTACCACCGAATTCTGCAGCTCTCACCGACACCCCTGCCTCTCCTACCCTAATTCCTTCCCCACCCCTAGCCCACTTCCAGGCATGAGAGGACTGTCACCTAAGAAAGGGAGAAAAAGAGATCAATGGCCAGAAATAAACCAAGCTATAATTAAGAGTCTATGTTCCCAAGAGAAATGCTATTTCAAAGTAAACCAGAGCAATTTTACTCAAAAGCCCAAAGTGCAATCTTCTGCACGCATGGAGATCCAGGCAGGCCCCTGAGGTGCAGGAGCACTTGAGAATGACAAAATCTAATTCTCTCCTTCCGAGTACAGAAGAACTGAGGCTCAGAGGGCAAAGACAATGGCCCAAAGCGAGAGCCGGCTGGAGACAGCATGGGGATTTAAACCAGGTCTCGTGGGCCCTGGTCCTCAAAGGGTGCTGACCGGAAGGTAGTTCACATTCCCACAGGTACCTTTCTGGAGCCATTCTGGGCTTTGCATAGAACCCACCAAACCACAAGTCACCTTAGAAGCCAGTGTCTCTCACAGGAGAGGAAAACAGTAATGGGCCAAGTAGAAAGCCACCATTTCCCAAGCTTCTGGGTGCCAGGGCTTTTGGGCACACTGTCATCTGATCCCAGAGTATTCTTGTTATGTAAGTCAAGATTCAGACTACACGAAATACTCCCAAATTAAAAGTGCATGAGCCAGGCTTTAAATACAAGTCTGCCTTTAAATCCAAAAGACCAAAATGCAGACTGCAACCGGCCTCAAGTCAAATTATTTCATAGGGACCAAAATGATGGCCAGTATAGGTAACTCCACAAAATGGACTTGCTATTCTCTTGGCATAATTTCAAAGGGAATACCACTGCAGACTTTCACTGTCCCTGTTTTGCCACAGGGGAAGCAAAAATGGTATGCCTTTACTAGATTAGGAAGCAAGGCCCGATTCCAAGGACTGGGCAGGTAACTAGTTAGCTATGCCTCCCCTTTACCCCACTGTGGGGGCACACATACACAGAGATATACTGGGGACTGGTCCTTAAGGCACATGGCTTTTTACCAATCAAAACCAAAAACAGGGGCACCTGGGTGGCTCAGTCGTTGAGCGCCTGCCTTGGGCTCAGGTCATGATCCCAGGGTCCTGGGATCCAGCCCTGCCTGCATCGGGCTCCCTGCTTGGCAGAGAGCTTGCTTCTCCTTCTCTCACTGTCTCTGTCAGATAAATAAAATCTTAAAAAACACCCACTAAAACCAGTACCTGTCATCTGAAATTTAGCGGCCACTTTTAAAAGGCCCAGGAGCCATGACCTAAATGAGGGCAGATTCATAAGCCTCCACATTTAGGATTCCCACTATCTTTAGCACTTACTTGTCTGTTTTCGAGGTCAATCTTGTTTCCCAACACAACGAAGGGGAAGTTTTCAGGATCCCGGGGACTGGCCTGGATAAGAAACTCATCTCTCCAGCTATCAAGGGTTTTGAATGTGTTGGGGGCAGTAACGTCAAATACCAGAACGCAGCAGTCTGCGCCTCTGTAGAAGGCCACACCAAGTGACTGGAACCGTTCCTGGCCTGCTGTGTCCCAGATCTGCGAGAGACAAAACATTATTCCTTAGGGGGCCCAGCACTAGGAGTGGGGGACGCCAGAGTAAACGAGCTGCATTATGGAGCCACTGAGAGACAAGCGACTTCAGATTTCAGAATTCAGGGAGCAGAGTGCAGCACCAGAGTATCCCACACAGCCCTGACAGAGAGTATATGTGATTGCATGTTATGCGGAGGGCAGACACCGAGTCTGAAATCTGCTAGAAAATGTTTTCATCTTGATCTGGGCGGTGGTTCCATGAATAGATATTTATGTAAAATTCATGATATAAACTTAAGATTTATGTACCCTGGGAACTTTCTGGGGGTGATGGAAATACAGGGACGTTAATTACACACTGAATTGTACATTTAGGTCTACATATTGTACTGTATATAAAGTTTACCTTAAAAAATCAGAATGTTTTATTTATATTACGACTCAATTAAAAAAAAAAAAAAAAAGCAAACAAAAACCCCTGAGAGAGAGAGAGAGATGAAGGGAAAGACGACAAGGGCATACTTTAGAATAGAGGGGAAAGCCAGCTTTTAATCAAAAGAACACCAGGTAGTACTGACTAGCTCAAACAACTTCCTGTTGTGGGCGCCTGGGTGGCTCAGTTGATTAAGCAACTGCCTTCGGCTCAGGTCATGATCCTGGAGTTCCGGGATCGAGTCCCACATCGGGCTCCCTGCTCAGCGAGGAGCCTGCTTCTCCCTCTAACCCTCCCCCCTCTCACGTACTCTCTCTCTCTCTCAAATAAATAAATCTTTAAAAAAAAAAAAAAAGAACTTCCTGTTGTTCATTGCCATGCTAGGTTGAGAGCAGGGGTGGATTTCCTTACTGCCCTAGATCCCTAACAAGGCCACTCCGGTCAGCCTGAGAGATGGTGAGTGTTCTGAGGAATGGTTCCACACCCCCCGGCAAGTCATCTGGTTTAAGACAGTGGGGGTCAGAGGCAGCATACCATTACTTCTAGCTGACATGGGCCTTTAACTGTTGGATTCACTGTTTGCAGGGAACCCACTTAACTTCAGAACGTAAGAACCTTTATAACCCAAATAAATGGCAACTTTATGTCCAAATCACCAGCCAACTACCCCAAAGGCCCAGGGTTTGAACCAAAATGGGAGTGTGGGTTGGGTCACTATAGTTTTATCTCCAGAACCAAATTTTGCAGAAGGATGGTTGAGCTCCTTTGTGAAGGCCTTCTCAGGCGGTCAGTCCTGCCTCCCTCCAAGTGATCCAGAACACTTGGGGAACCCGTCAAGTGTCCCTAGATATACACAGATTGAGCTCCCAGTTCAGGTAGGAAGAGCACCCTATGAGGTTATGATGCTTGATTAGAATAAACAGGCACAAGAGAAATAACATAGGACAGGGCAGTAATATGGGATTCATATTTCTTTAACACTACCAATGTAATCAAAGCTCATGATGTTCTATTAAATCCCCTAACACCTCCCAAAATATTCTCTGAAAGGAGTCCTAAAACCTACTGTGCAAATCCAGAGAGTTGATTTACTCTTGGGAACTGGCTCAAATGACACTGTAGCAAACAGGAGCAGAGCCAGAACTTAAATATTGACTGGAGGGCTGGACACAGCAGCATTAGAACCCCCTAAAGAAGGTCCAATAAAGCAATATGACTACACAACTCTAAACTCTGGCCCACAGATTGGCCAAGAATAGCCCAGGCCAACAGCGTGCTGGAAGGGGGCTACTGTGGTTACCAATGTCAGGGCTGAGCAAAAGTGCGCATTTCAGCTTTCTGTCAATGAACAGTCCCCAAGAGCCTAAGTGTTACTCCTACGAGGAAGACAGTTCTGAGAAACCCGCCTCAGCCTTTTCTTCCAATGCCCATGACCCTCCATAACCAGTACATGAAAACATGGCTGACAGGACTCCTGGCCACGACTGTGAGAGCAGAGAGCCTGACCTTGGCAGCCCACTCCATCCCCAGGAAACCCCAACCACTACATACACTATCTATACGCACTTCACTCTGGGAAGAACCTTTCTAAAATAGGACATGCCCTAGCAGCCATGGGAGGTGAGCCTGACTGTAGAGTAGAGGCAGGAGGCTGTCATGAATGTCTGTGTGTGGCACAGGAGTGCTCAGGCCACTGGTAAAAGAAGCAGCCACTCAAACAGAACCAGAAGGAAGTGACGATGACTTCAATATAAGGGTGAAGACACACTCAAAGGCAATTATTCTCCCTGCCTCTCATCAGGATGGGGAATTAAATGCAATCCCCACTACAACAAACAAAGCACACACATGCAGACAAAATTCGATCTCTGGTGCCAGTGGATAACCAGTAGAAGGACTGCTGGTGACGTCTGCTCTTGTGCTTTTCTGGTTTCCCAATGCCCTACAGTGAATATGTGTCTCTGAGTGAAAAAATGAACCCTTTCTCATAACAGGGAGACTGATCGATGGAGGGGGACGCAAGAGCCTGGTCATACAATAAGGAAAGTAGAAACAGACAATTATTTCTATAAAGAGGAAGTAGGAAAAAACCAGAACTTAAATCTAGGCTTGGACAAATTAAAAAAATAAAAAAATTTTTTTTCCCATTAGAGAAGTAACACTGTTACTATGTAAACATTTGGGTAAGTAAAGCCAAAGCTAAAAAACCCCCTGAAACACTTGGCACTCTCCCACACAGACAGCATCTTCATTAGCTCATTTTTTATTCTAGGTATCCAGGCTGTGGGGTTTTACGTAGCTGAAATCTCACACCATGCATCACGCCGCGCCCTCCCCATCACTCCTCTCTGCCCAAGTGACACATCACAGCACTCTCTGACAGGAGCTCCCACCTTTACTGCTGCCCAACAAACTCAGCGAACAATTTCACTCTTGTTTTTTTAAAAACATATTGCTGTCAAATTTCCACAATTTTAAGGACCTCAGGAATGAATGTTAACTTACAGAGCCCTTCTGTATTTCCGATTGCTTGTTTAGGACAGAATCCCAAGAGGAGAATTACGTAAGAACTCTATGACTCTTTTTTTTTTTTAAAGATTTTATTTAGTTGACAGAGAGAGACACAGCGAGAGAGGGAACACAAGCAGGGGGAGTGGAAGAGGGAGAAGCAGGCTTCCTGCTGAGCTGGGAGCTCAATGCGGGGCTCGATCCCAGGACCCTGGGATCATGACCTGAGCCGAAGGCAGACGCTTAACAGCTGAGCCACCCAGGCGCCCCTAAACTCTATGACTCCTGATGGAACCAAACGGGTACTTGGAAGTCAGATACACAGAGAAGGCAAAGTAAGGCATTAAGAAGTGAAGTTGAAAAACTGTGCAGCTGTTCTTTGCAATTTTAAAAAATTAATTTATCTTCACACCTAGAAACATAAAGTCCTATGACTGTGATCTTTTAAAATTTTTAATATTTTATAGCACACCCATATATTTACCCATACTCTAATGTGACAAATATTAACACTGCCACAGTAATGTCAGTTTTTTTTTTTAAAGAAACAGAGTTAACTCTTCCTCACAGCATTCCCTTTCCTTCCTCCTCAGATGTAAATGGGTCCTGAAGAGTTAACGGTCTACATAAATAGTATGATCCTGTACATCTTTTTGCAACTTGCTTTTTTTCTTTTCCAAAGGTTAACGGCTATATAGCATTCCACTACCTTAATATACACACTCTATTCCCTGGTCATCTCAGCAGCAAGGAGCATCCTTCCTACACTTCTCTTCCTATGCCCAGAGCTAAGTTTCTCTAGGCTCTCTTCCTAGACAGAGAATTGTGCATGCTCAACAATGGAGAGCAAAATGGTAGTCTCTACTGAAAAGGGCTGCACTGATACACTCCCACCATAAACTTGACAATATTCTACTCCCTATATTCCAGCCAAAGCTTGATTTTTGTCAGCCTTTTTTCCCCCCAAATCTGTACATTTATAGCAACATGCTTTATTAACTTTAAAGTAAAATGTAGGGCGCCTGGTGGCTCAGTTGGTTAAATGTCTGCCTTCAGCTCAGGTCATGACTCCGGGATTCTGGGATTGAGCCCAGAGCCAGGCTCCCTGCTCAGTGGGGAGTCTGCTTCTCCCTCTCCTCCTCTCCGCGACCCCACCCCCGCTTGTGTTCTCTCTCTCAAATAAAATCTTTAAAAATAAAGAATATCTGTGTTATACATATATGTGTTATACATTTAAATCACTTTAAAGAACTCTATCTACATCAAAAGATACCTATATAAAACGAGGAATATATTAGAATTAAAAGGTTATCTGGGTTCGCATTTTTCTTAAAATGTACATAAATTCTCACTTCCAACTCTAATTTTAGTATGTCATGTCTGAATATTTACTTTCTACATGAGGGACTCTTTGCTTTTAAAATGTTGTGGTATGACCACCTTTTAGTTCTATTGATGATAAATATATCTAAATAATTTCAAATGAGGGGCGCCTGGGTGGCTCAGTCGTTAAGCGGCTGCCTTCGGCTCAGGTCATGACCCCAGGGTCCTGGGATCGAGCCCCGCATCGGGCTCCCTGCTCCGCGGGAAGCCTGCCTCTCCCTCTCCCACTCCCCCTGCTTGTGTTCCCTCTCTCGCTGTGTCTCTGTCAAATAAATAAATAAAATCTTAAAAAAAAAATAATTTCAAATGATACTTTATATTGAAATAGGACACTTTCCCCCCCATATCCATGATTTACTTACTTTATAACCAGAAGTTTGTTCCTCCTAATCCCCTTCACCTATTTCTCCCGTTTCCCACCCCCACCCCTCTGGCCACCACCAGTTTGTTCTCTGTACTGATGAGTCTGTTTTTGTGTTGTTTGTTCATTTGTTTTTTTAGATTCCACATATAAGAGAAACCATATGGTATTTGTCTCTGAATGATTTCACTGGGCATAATACTCTCTAGGCCCATCCATGTTGTTGCAAACAGCAAGATCTCACTCTTTTATGGTGAGTACCAGATCTTTATCCATTTACCTGTAGATGCTTCCATTTGAAGTAAGACACTTACTGAATATTATTATTTTACTTCAAGTCTAATTTTAGTTCTAGAGAAGGTGGTTCTATCTCAAAGGCTTGGACAAGGTTTACTTTTTCTCTTAGTCCAGGAAGATCACTTAACAGCAAACACTTCAGTTTTAAGTGATGCAGAGCAACGATGCCTCTGTCTGTGATACACCCACATGAAATTATTTCCAACATGCTTTTATGTAAATTTTTAAGTTTACAAAGTCTCTCCAAACAGTCAGGCTCAATATAATGACACTTGCATGACCTTGTTTTTCCAGCGTGCTATTAGCCCTCCATGTGACCAAATCCAATGCTCATGATTTAAGAGCAGTGGTATCAACTGCCTGAATTCTGTTTGTCTAGAGGGCCTGATGAGAGGTTATTATAGTCCTGCCAACTCTCCTGGCCCCAGCAGCACACCACAGCCCCACAGCACGGTCACTTGGATGCCGCCAGTCAGGGCTGACATCCACTTTATTCAACCAGTCCCAGAAGTATCTGGAGTCACATGACTATGGGAGTTTCTTTAAGCCACCCAACTGCTGGGAAATTTTTCCAAAGAGCATCTTTTGATAGCATCAAGAGGGAGGGAGGGAGTGATCCCTGTGTCTACAGCAGTGTCACCTTGCCCCGTCACCTTTTTGAATTTGTAATTCCCTGAAATCAAGCCACTGGACATTAAAGGTTTCTTCTGATAGTTGCCTGTTGATGTCTTTTGTCCAGTTATCCACGGGGTTGTTGACTGCATACTATTATGCATTATCAACATTTTTTCTGGTCTGTGGTTTTTATTTGGGAATCTTGTTATTCAAATGTTTAATTTAATGTGGTCTACTATTGATCTTTAATCTTTTATGATTTGTGCTTTCTCTATTTTAAACACCTAAGGTAAAACAATTTATTTTAATCTTTTGTAAAGCTTTCGTTTTGTACTTTTTTCATTCAGGTTTTGAACCCTCTGGTTACTCCCCACCCAAAACAGAAAACCATGGGCCCACTCCATTTACTGTGTAACTCCCCCTTTCCCTACTCTTTTGGAAGCCACCTCTCTACTCAGTGTCCAGCTAGGTGTGCCCTGCTTGAGTGCCCTCTGTTCCCTTGATCCGCATGTCTCTGACAATATCACACTGTTTAAATTATCATGGCTTCATAGTAAGCGACCTTTAAATTTTTCTCGCATACTTGATTCCACCTGTTTAATACTGACGGATTTCTAGCTTCTTCCTGAGCAATATAAGGTATCCACAGCAACCACTAATCTTCCCTCCCTAACAGATTAAATTACATAGGTCTAATCCTGGTTTTCTGTGATAGTTTGGAAGTTACATACTCTTACTATTAGGGTCATAATTCTAACAATAAATATATGCATACAATTAAAGTTTATCTCAGTTTATCTTCTTATCTCAGACCTTTCTAAATGGAATCACTTTCCTTCTGCCTGAAGTACATCTTTTAGAATTTTCACCATGGAACCTAAGGATGTACGCTTTCATTCTTCCAGGATATTTTTAGCAGGGACAGAACACAGTGCTGAAGGTTTCTTTCAGAATATATTCCACCGCCTGTTGATTTCCACTGTTACTATTGAGAGTCAACTGTCAGTCTCATTGCTGTTCTTTTTTAAGGTCATCTTTTTCCTCCGGATGCTTTCGAGTTTGTCTTTTGTTTTTGCAATTTCATTATGGTATGTCGAGATTTCTTTTTTATTTATCCATCTTGGAATTTGGGCTTCCTGAATCTGTAGACTAGTGCCACATCAATCCTGGAAAATTCTCGACAAATACCATCTTTGAAGTCTGACCTATCTACTGAATCCTGTTTGTACCTCTCTTTCCTATCATTCTTCCTTTCAGTCCTCTTCTGGCATGTCCTATCTGCTGCTAAAAACATTCTTGGATTTCCACCTTTTGGTTATTATATTTCATTTTTAGAAATTCTATTAACCTACACCACCTGTTTAGTTTCTTCTCTCCAGATACATAAGACTGCCTTATTTCTTTAAATATAAAAACCACTCTGAATGATCAAGGAGCTTTCCATTGGTTCCTGCCTTGTTTTCTTATTTGGATTATCTTATTGCACGCTGCTAAAAGCCCGTGAAAAATATGAGGATTCCTCAAGATCTAGGATGATAATGCCTCTGTCCAGAGATCATGGTTTTCATTTGCTTCTAGTCTTTCAAGCTGGCTGCAATAGCATGAGGGCCAGCCTTTTGTTTCAACCTTTCAGAACATGTTCTCTGCCCTGCTGTTTCCAGACTCCAGTGACCTGAGGTTCTCCAGCTGGTGTGCACTCCAGCAGTGCAGCCCTGCAGGGTCCCAGCTTAGTAGGGTACATGGGGCTCTATGATAATAGTCCCACACCCAGAAGGAGCTGGGTCCTGACTTTGGAATCAGCCCGCACTGCTGTCAAAGCCATAGCCTGGCTCTATAGCTGTTTCTCCTGGTACAGGAAGCAGCTTTTAGTCTGGCTGGTGCCCATGTAAAATCTGCAGGTAGTACTTTACGCCAGCAGCCTGAAGGCATTCCATTCCCTTCTGCCTCCTGTTGTCCCCGAGAACTCTTCTGTTAACCTTTGTAAGTAATCTTTCTTTTCTCTCTAGTTGCTCTTATAGTTTTGCTTTTGGTGTTCTGCAATTTTGAGTCTTCTGGGTAATTTGCTCAGTTTTCAAAGCTTACTGTTTCCTTCAGCTGTGTTTAATCTGCAGGTTAACTGTTCATTTGGTTTATCACAATGACAATGTTTTCACTTCTTCAAGTTCTAAGTTCTCCATATCCTCATTTTTTTATAGTATCCTTTCTCATTATGGTTTCGATTCCTTTTTAAAAAATCTCCAGTCATTGTGAACATTTTTTGTGGTACATTATTTCCTCATGTGGCTATGAGCTCATCTTCTGTCCTGAGGTTGCAAGTCTTCCTATAGAATGGTCTTATCTCTGCTTGTGTCGGGAATGACAGGGATTTATGGGTTTATGTCAACATTCCTGTCCCATGTTGAGTATAAGCTCAGAACCCAGACATGAGCATAGTGGGATTGAGAGTCTCCAACAAGAAAGCAAAGAGGCAAAGCCTCAAGCCTACTTCATACATGAGCTTTGCCACTTCCTTGGGCTGAGGGTATTTGGTCCTGTTTTCACATCTTTCCAAGGTCCTGGGTGAGTGTGAGAGCGAGTGAGTGAGTGAGTGAGTGAGTGAGTGAGTGAGTGTGTGTGTGTGTGTGTGTGTGTGTATGTCTTCCCAAGGGGATTCTCAATTCTAGTTCCCCCACCTTTTGTAGTCACATCTCCTGCTCCTGGCGAGTGATGAAACTCTAGTCCTGGTTATAAACCTGCAAAGCACCATGGCAGAAGCCCCTGAGCTTATCACTAGCTTTCGGTTCCCTCTTCTTTCCTGTAACCTGGAAATTCCTTTTTCTCTCAAGCTTGGTTTATTAAAACTGTAGTCATATTTTGAACATCTCTATGTGTATGCTTAGGGGAGGTAGGAGGCGAAATCCATATTAACTCCATCCTGGATGTGTGAGTCAAGGAAGTGTCAAGAGTCCTTATCCTATGGGAGCATGTCACAGCTTGAGGTCCATGTGTGTAAAAACTTCTGCCTGTAATACCTGGATCATTCAAACATTTCGGTGAGCCTGGTGTTTGCTAGGACTACAGTGGGATAAGAATTTTGTCTCTAGAGGCCTAGTCTGCCAGGGACCTCATTTAATACAGGAAGGAACAACTACTGTGGAGGTAGGAGTTTCAGAAGACAACACCTGGGCTAAAAGTTGGAGACTTCGGGATGAAGACAAAGATGGGACACAGGGGCCGGGATGGAAGCAGAACGGTGCAAGGACAGGTTTGTAAGAGCAGCGCGTGGTTTAGAAGGACTGGCAAAAGAGAGAAAAGTGAAGAATTAGTTTGTAGCCAGAATGCAAAGGCTTTCAAAAGGTCCTATGAAGGAATGTGTATTTTAGCCTAATTGTTGCAAGGGAAAATCTGAGAAGATTAAGGTGATAAAAAAGCTAGGCTAGCTTAACAGAAACACAACTTTGGTGGCTATAGATAAGACAGATTAAAAGAAGCCAGAAAAATAGGGAAACTACATGAACAGCTACTGTAAGAATCTAGGAGAAACCCAAAGACGTTTTGGCCTAAAATATTATGCACGGATATTAAGAAAGGAATGAGTTAGACATTTTGGAGACACAGCAAAACAGAGAGGCCTGTATGTTGTCAAATTCAGCAAAAACAATAAAAAAAAAAAAACCCCAAACCAAACCAACAACAAAAAAAAGGAACTCCAATTAAATTTGAGCTTTGGGAAAACAATGAAAAATTTCTAGTATGTCTCATGCAATAGCTGGGTCATACTTGATGTCCTGTATTTTATCTGGCAATCCTCCTACCTGTGGCCAATTATCCCTGAATATTGTAGTGGGAAATGAAGAACAGGGAGGGAAAATGCCTAGGCATGAACAAAAGGGTTCAGCCCGAGTGAACAAGGCTTGGCTGGCAAAGCGGAGACGCGTGCTTACCTGCATTGTAACTAGTCTGTCATCCACCATCACCTCCTTTGTCAGAAAGTCTGCTCCTATTGTAGCTTTGTACTGATTACTGAATTTCTTGTTCACATACTGGTTCATGAGTGATGTCTTACCAACTCTGAAATTGGAGAAAAACCACAAGTATAGGTCAACTAGGAAGGGATGGAAAACAGATTCTGATCCTTGCAGCTCTGAAGATACCTGCCTATCTTAAAGGAGAACAAGGAACTGTAATCACAACAGAGAGCCGTGCCAGCCAACTGCCCAATGTTACTCATTTGAGGTTGTATTTTCTCCTGGGATAAAAATACGGGGTACAGATATGGGACAGATGTTGAAAAGCTGCTTTTAAGTTTGTACAAGCAAGTCAGATGGTAGAACCTAGTATTATCTTTTTCCTTCCACAAAGATGTAAGCAAATACTCTCCTTCTAAAAGGAGCTACAGCAATAAGATCACTCCACCATTCCAAAAATATCTCTGCTGTCTTGAGTGTCTCTCCATTTAGGGGTTGCTATTCAGTCTAAGAAAGTAATGGCACAGGAGGAAGTCAATGGCTGCGAGCAGACATACACACCAGTCAGCCACCTGCTGCTTCAAAGTTTAAAATCTGAAGTGGAGAAAGCATCAATATTCCACCAAATGAGAATCCACCTCAGAGTAAGCTCCTCCAGAGATGTTTTCCAATAAGAAAACTCAGCAAGAGACAATGTGTGGAAATTTTTTGGTGATGAGATTAGCTGGGGCAGGCTGGTAATAATACAAAAGGCTTCTTCAAAGTCAACGGGAATGCCTTCCTTTCCCACTGAGAAACACACTCATTTTCACATGCAGAGGACCTGGTAGTACAGTTATGGCTTAAGGCAGTGTTCTCCAACCCAGGCCACCTGGGTTTTTCAGAGGAGAGGCCAGGAGATCTGTAATCAAATAAAGACTTGGTGATTCTTTCCAGGCAAGTTTGGGCCTAAAACAATACCTTTCAATCCTGACACCACACTAGAGTCACCAGGAGTGAGGGAAAGGGAGGGACAGGGACAGAGACAGAGAGACAGAGAGATGTGTATATTTAAGTACTGCTAACTAGGCCCAACCCGCTGGTATGGAAAAATGCTAACTTTTAAAAGGCTCCTCAGGGGGCGCCTGGGTGGCTCAGTTGTTAGGCGTCTGCCTTCGGCTCAGATCATGATCCCAGTGTCCTGGGATCGAGCCCCGCATCAGGCTCCCTGCTCCGCGGGAAGCCTGCTTCTCCCTTTCCCACTCCCCTTTGCTTGTCGTTCCTGTTCTCGCTATCTCTTTCAAATAAAAATCTTAAAAAAAAAAAAAATACATAGCTTCCAGTTGGTCTAAGGTTTCACAGGTCACTTCAGATGCTGAGTCTGAAAAACCTCCCACAGAATCATAACAGCTACTAAAGAGCTGGTCACTTACTTAGTGGCAGATCTAGGATCAGAATCCAGGTCTCCAGTCCCAGGTTCTTTTGAATATAGACCTGAATCTGGCACAGTGGTGGGAGGATACCACACAGTATACCCCAAACCCACAACTGGTAGGCATGAGGTCAGTGGCAACAAATCTACATAAATAGAGCTCCCTTGTCTAACCAGCTGGGAAAAAAGGGATTCCATGAAACTATTCTTGAGTTTAAATAGCTACCCCTTCCCCCAAATCATGCCAAAGATCAGGGAACGAAGGGTTACAGAACAAGAGATCATTCAAATTTCTGCTGTGCCCGAAAGAGCAGGAGACCTAGGGCCCTACTGCCACTACTATTAGAGAAGGAACTGCCAAATGTCAGCATGGAGGGCACAGGCTTCAAGGAGGTCACGTTTAATCCAAGCCAACATGTTAGTTCAAACGGTGAGAACCACTTACCCAGAATCTCCCAGGATGATAACCTTCAGCAACACTTTCTTCCTAGAGGTCATCCTTCAAACTAAAAGGAAAAAGAAGAAAGCACTGTGAGTGTGACAGAAATACCAAGGCTAACCACATCCCCCAGTGTAAACATCGAAACAGCCCCAGGAGCACTGAGTCTTGGGCCTTCCTGTTGGCTATTTCCCTGCCATCCAGGGGGACTGGACAGAGAGCAGTATCAGTCATTAGAACTCTGGACCCAAGCTGGGCAAAGTAGTGAGTCAGGCTCATCCTGCCCCTCAGAGTAGTCTAAAAGAACGGATTCTCCCTCTTGGATGTTGGATCAGTGTCGATTAATGCTCCAACTTCCTCAACAGCTTAGTCCTGCTTCATTCGGGTCTCTGCTCACATTGCACTTCCTCAGAGAGGTGATCACTTTATCTAAAGTAGCACACCCTTTCTCCATCTGCTCTATCCCTTTACATTGCCTTAGTTTTCTTCAGAGCACTTAACCACTACTTGGCATCTGAATCTATTACATTTGTCAGTCTTTTCCCTTTTCTTTTCTTTTTTTAACCTCCACCAAGACAGTTTTATTCCCCACTACATCTCTAGTGCCAAGTAGAGAATTATTATCAAATATTGGGGTAGTGTGAGAATACTTGACCTATAGCTCTTGGAATCACCCTTTTCTAGAAAACCTTTCAGGCAGTCTTCCCTACCCTTGAACAGACAATATGTAAGATGCCTAATCTTTGCTCATCTCTATTCCAGAACTTGCTCCTATTTACTTTTCAAGACAGGATTCCTGTCTTAATTATCCCTTAGTCTCCTGAACCTGACTCAGTGACTTTCAAAAAAGCAGGAGTCTTAAATTCTGGACCCCAAAGTTAGCAACTTATCTAAAACTGCTAGACGATCACTCCTCAGACAGCTGGAATCCCCAGCATGAGGCCTGTGTTCTCCAGAACCAGGAATTCAAGACTGAATGTGAGAACCCTCGAGAATGACACCTACACCTGAGAGCCCTTAGCTCTGGTCCATTATCCTCAGGAGACTGTGAAACAGCAAGGGCAGGAGACTACAAGTAACAAGGCAAGGGTCAACATCTACCTCCTGCCTTCAGTGGAGCTGGGGGAAATAAGTGTTTACATATAAAAAAGGCAGGTAAGGAAGCGGGTTCAGTAAAGCCTGTTCTTATTCTTCTACAGTTTGGGAGAACAAGGCAGTCAAAACCAGGTCTCAGAAAAGCTATTTTTTAGTTTCATTTTTCTTTTTTTTAAAGATTTTTATTTATTTATGTGTTGGGGGGGGAGTGCACAAGCAGGGGGAGTGGCAGGCAGAGGGAGAAGCAGGCTTCCCGCTGAGCAGGGAACCCAATGCAGGGCTCGATCCCAGGACCCTGGACCATGACCTGAGTTGAAGGCAGACGCTTAACCAACCGAGCCACCCAGGTGTCCCTTAGTTTCATTTTTAACCACCTAGCTTCTAGAAGGCTGAGGCTGGCTACAGTGACTGTGACTTTATCCTTTAGTGCTTGCTTCTGTTACAGTCTTAACATCTAATATTCCTTTGAGTGAATTGTTTAAATAGCCATTCCTGCCTTTTACTTAATACACCAAAAATCTGGAGAAAGTAATGCTGTAAAGAACATTTTTGAACTTCAGTTTGTGGGATCATTTCCTTGGGATCCAGCAACAGCCATGGGGTGGTGGGGGTGGGGTGGGGTGGGCATGATCTTCTTAGATTCAGACTCACAGGACTATCACAGGCCATACCTGGCACCTGCCTACTGAGGAGGACTGGGGGGACAAGAACACAGCTCGCTGGCTGTTCTTTCAACAATCCACACAGCAGATGGCTCTGGTATAGGGAGACAATGTGGGTTCAACCCCTGACTTAAAACCCTCATTGTTGAGGGGATCCAATCATCTCTTTTAATAGCTCTGTTGGCTTCTTGTGAGGAACACATCCAGCACAAGAGCCACTGTACTCTGTGAAGCCCAAGCATGGGGCTCCATGGGGGTACTTCACAGCCTCTCCCTGTCCAGATGCAATTACCAAGTAGGAGACATTTTACCATAAGCTACAGTGCCCAGCAACAGAAGGTGACAGTCTGCCCTTATGAGGTTCCCCAGAAACAAAGTTAACCAAAGGTCAAATTCTCACACAGGCAAAAGGGTTCTCCTGTTAACTTACAGATATTGTTTAGGAATGGGGTTACTGAATCAAAAGTATAAACATTTTCATGACATTCACTAATTCACTTTTTTGAAGGATTTTCCAAATTTATACTGCAACCACTGTTGCAGTGGTTAACAGCAGTATAAGACTTAAGTAAGAAAATGACAATCTTACTGAAACAAAGGAAATCTGAATGAAGAGATATCTCCAATAGGAAGACTTAATGCAGAGATGTAAATTCTCCTCTACTGAAACAATCCCAAGGATTTTTTGGAACTTGAAATAATTCTAATTTTATTCATCAAAATAAATTCACAAGAGTCCCTCCCATTCTTCCCCAAAAGAATAATGACAAGAGGACAGAGGACTTGCCTTAACAGTCTTGGAAAGTATGTTATAAAAATACAGTATTAAAAGTATGGGGCTGGAATAGGACTAAACAGAAAAATAACCCAGAAATGAATAATTTGGACAAATATGCCATTATAAAATTCAGTAACAAAAGGATGGAAAAAAAAAATTCACTAAGTGAAGGCAGCCAGAAAAATTCTGAGAATTAAGATCCTTACACTCCATGCTCCAAAACAGATTCCCAAAGGAGTAAAGATTTAAATGTAAAAATGAAGTTGAAAGAATACAATATTAGGTTTTTCCTGGATTGCAGAATTACAAATAGCTTTGTTTTCTTTATACTATCTTATTGTGACCTTTGGAGGAACATATTACCCTTAAACTGAAAAAGCTATTTCCATTTTGGAGAAAAACGTTAATCTGCTGATTTTTCAAATAAGTTTTCTCATTACAAAAATAGTCCTTATTCATCATGAAAGATGAACTACACATGAATGAGGATTTTCATCCTCACTTAGGGCCTGTTGAACATTCAAGGGTTGTTGCAAATGATACTCAACAGTGGATCTGAAGAAACCCAACAAGTCGTTTCACCGGGATGTCGACGACTTTAAACTGGCAAAGTTTAGAGCCCTGTTTTTGTACTTACTGTTCTCCAGGATCAAGAATGGGGGACACTTGTTTCTAGAAAAGAGCTAAGAAGAAGAAAAAAGAAAAAAACCACAAAACTTGAGCACAACTTTTGCTACAAGAAGCTGCCCAAGCTGCAATGTCTTTAAAATCTCCACTCGCAGTTTCTTCTGTTACTGATTTCCATCATCACCTTCATGGATTTCTGAAGACTGAAATTACTTTTTGAAATCCTACAAACTAAGGGGATGCCTGGCTGGCTCAGGTGGTAGTGCAAGCAACTCGATCTCAGGGTTGTGAGTTCTAGCCCCAGGTTGGGCGTAGAGTTTACTTAAAAAATAAACAAACAAACAAATAAATAAATAAAAATCCTGCAAACTAGAAACTTCTAACTGGAGAACAGTTTCTAACGCAGAGACCACTCCTTTTACAGGAGAAACTGAAGCAGGCAAAGAGGAAGAAAAGAGTTGTACAAGGTCCCTAGCCACTGTGTTCCTTGGAAATGAATATTTTGGATAACATCTATTAATCCATTTACATAGATCTTCTAAAACCTTTTTTAGAATAAGGTGTATTCAGAACACATTTCCTTCCTTCTGCTTTCAAACCAAACCTCATTAGTGTGCTCTGGAACGATTTCCTAGGAAGAACAAGCAATACTAACTATTCCATATGCTGAATCAATTCTTTCCCTCAAGTAAAATTTTTTCTCACATAATAAATCAAAAGCTAGAATTTTCCTCTGTTAGCCTGGAGTTATCATCTTCTTCATCTCTAAAGCAGAGAAACAAACTGGCCATAAAGGCAGACACAACAAAGAAACCCCATGTAGGTAAAAAGGTCAGGAAAATAATATCCAAGGGTCTGGGCTGGGCACGGCCAATGAGGTCAGAAAGGGCCCAATAGAGAATGGTCAAGGGGGAGGGCAGTGAGAACAGAGAACTGGTATGGGAAAAACTAGAGGAGCAGGGAAGGGGTAGAAGCTGGTGGTCAGCGGGCCATTACAAAGTCTGGCCAAGCAACTTTGTGTGGTGATCACAAACTCAAGATGACTGTGCTCAAGTAGAGGCGAGACTAGGGAGTTGCAGTATCAAGGAGTTGAAAGCAAAGCGTTTGCAAAGCCATCAAGACAACTATAAAACACAGGGAATGAAGGTGAACCAGGTGTTGCATCATGTCCAAGATCACATAGCAATTGAGTGGCAGAGCTGGAATTGTCAGAAGTGTAAGCCCAGGCCCCAATACTTGACCATCATGCCACTCTGTAATATCAGCTCTCACCGCAAAGAGGATACATACTGGTTCACCAGGGCTGGGGGATCAGTCCTCAATTAGGCATTCTGAAAAGTTCCCTCTGGCAACTGAGGCACACACACCAGGTTTGGAAAATACTGACTTGAGGTCCATAACTGTTCTGATTTACATGTGTGTCTGATACAGTGATGGCACGAATGTTAGAGGTGCAAGGCAAGGGCAGTTAAACCAACTGGTTTTCTAGAGTCCATTAACACTTTTATTTGCTTGGTGTTGCCAAGTTGCCTACTCTCTAACAGCTAGATCCTAATCAAACAAGTGACTTTTCTGCTGTCTCTCCCCCACCCCCCAATTAAAGTACTGAATTATAGAAAATTTAGAAAGGTACGCACAAGAATGAAGCAAAGACAAAAAGGCACCCACAATTCCAACTCTTAGAAACAATCACTATTAGCACCAGGGTTTAGGTCTTTCTAGAATTCCTTCAAATGGCTGAGATTATACCGTTGCATCCTGTTTGGTTATGACATTAAGGTTGCATGATACTGCAGCATATGGATAATCCCACTATTATTAAGCATGCAATTATTTTTATTTATTTATATAAAAGATTTTATTTATTTTTTTGACAGAGAGACAGCGAGAGAGGGAACACAGGCA